GACGTTAGCATTGATAAAGGATATAGATCAACTCTCTCTGCCTTTTGTGTGTCCTACATTTGGGTCATCTTCCCTGTGGTTTGTCACAATTGTGAGAAAATCACTTTTACAATTTAGCATTTCTATTCCATTTTAAAATATGGCTGTAATTTCATCAAACTATCTAATACTCTAACCAGGAATACATGAAAAACAACACCACCTCATCACTCCTGCAAAATCCTATAGATACAATCACATTCCTAAACCCTCTTGTGCTCTAGAACTAAACTCCATCCTGTTCTTGCAAAATAAATAAACCAGCGGATATGCAAGGGCCATGCTGCAGTGAACAAGTGCTTTGGTTTTGCACAGCTGTGTTTTTGTTGTCATGCCTAAAAATACTTAATAGCAGCACTTACATGTAAATGAGCAAACAGAAAAGTCGTCAGTCTACTTCGATTCCTTCCCATGTAACATAATTGCGGTACTCGGCACTGCTACTTCCAGACACCAATCTGCTGTTCAGCATTTGTTCTGTCTGCTCCATCAGTGGAGTCCAATTGAAATATTGATCTTGTTTTACAAAGCCCAAGGTATGAAAAACTTTAGCCCTTTGAATATATATGCTCTGTTAATGCAAAATCAAAGCTGCTGAATTTAGATTTTGGGGGGGGGGGGGGTTAACACACAGGAATTCATTCCTCAGAAGCTGCACACACTCCCATATTAAAATGTGGCAGCTATCTCATCCATCACTGTGAAAATAATTAGATTCAGGCCTGAGCCAAATAAATCCAACAGAGACAGAGGCAGTTTGGAGCATTGCCATTCTGCGCCGGTGTTAAAACACAAGCAAGCAGACACGACAAACATTATTTACTGATCATTTGTGTCAGGCGGTGACTGCAGGAGCAGAGATCTGCCCAAAAGCTTGTGATAATTGATGGTGACTACGTGAATGTGCCAGTGATCACAGACTGTTGTGATGAAGGGTTAATACACACGAGACTCTGTAATACAATTGTCCTCTTTCGTTTCAATGTGTTTTGCTTGCAGTGCAGAATAAAGGAATAACATTTTCCACTTCCCTTCATGTGTGCCATGAGTTCACAAACGCAATAACCTTAAATGCATTACAGCACAATATGCCAAAGCACGCATTTGCTCATATTTTATTAGATAAATAAACACATTGTGCCGCAAAGTGGAAGAACACACGTTAAAGTGTCTGCATCATTGGTGCTTTCAGTCTGAAATAGTAATTAAAGTAACAACAAGAAGTTTGATACTACTATTATAGTTCTATATTGAAAGCAGATGCACAAAGACTTTGAAAGTGTGAGCCTGATCCTAAAAGTGACAACATTAATCTCTAAAACTGATTTGTTATAAACAACTGACAGTCTAATATTTCACAGTTCATTTATTCAGAACTACTGCTTTGTAATTAGCAATGATATTGGAGGGTCACTGGTCACTTCATTAGTTACAGTTTGGTAGTACCAACAAGGTGCTGGAAACAGATTGTTGAGTATCAGAGATTTGGGACATGATAGAGTCACACAGTTGCTGTAGATTTGCTGGAGCACATACATGACAGTGATCTCCCCTGGCCAGTTAATGTCGTCTCAGCATCTGACTAGGATGCCTCCTGGACGTCTCCTGGGTGAGGTTTGAGTATCTGTGCTTGTACTGCTCTCTGCACTATAAGTTAAAATTAAGAAGATCAATTAATGCCAGGATTTCATACTTCTTTGAAAACACAATATTTTAAGAGTCAATAGGCAAAAGAGTCGACACATAGATTTTTAATCATAATGATTTTAGTTTAATCTGTGTTCACACCAAAAGAAGGATGCAAGATATTTCAAAACAGTGGGTTTCACTTTAACTTGCACTCATAATATAAGTACGATTACAGATCCAGGAAGATTACCTGCAGCTTGGGGATTTTTGCTCATACCTGCTTTTCTATCAAACATCAGAATGCTCCTTAATGACTCCTTTCAATAACAACACTGCACTCTTTTGCTCCCTTCATACTGCTACAGTTTAATTTGGTAGAAAACTGATTTTTTTTTAAATTAATAGTGGCCTATTTCCAACAATTGTCTAGATATTAGAATCATTGTTTACTCACAACAATATGATAACACAGAATATGACATTATTATAAAGGTGGAACACCTTTACTTTTGATGCCTTTAGTACATTTTCCTGTTGCTTCATTCAACATTTTTTTTTTTTTTTTTGCCAAAGAAAAACAAAATCTCTATTTCAAAGTTAAATTATTTGATCAGTCACTTCAAGGTGCTTTGTACTGTAAGGTCAAAACCCTACAATAACACAGAGAAACACACAACAATTAAGTGACCCCCTTTGAGCAAGCACTTGGCGACAATACGAAGGAAAAAACTTCCCATGAAGAAACCTCCAGATAACCAGGCTCGGGGTGGGGTGGCCATCTGCCGTGACTGTTTGGGGGGTTAGGAGAGGCAGACAGGAAGATTAGACAAGCACTATGAAAGAGAGACAGAGATTAATAATAACTAATTATTAAAGATTAAATGCAAACTGATCTATAAACACACAGAGAGTGAAAAGAGATGAGTGAAGATGCCAAATGAAGTCTTTTCTCTCCTCACCTATGAGTCTTTGCCAGTCTGCGGTGACACATCCATTGCCCTGCAAGGTTTCAGGACATACACTACAGGTGATAGGATCAACATAACATAACTGATGACTGGACTCCAACCGAGGACCTCCTTGCTGTGAGGTGACAGTGCTAACCACCACCTACGATATTACATGATAATATAACATATTTTTGTGCGCAGTCGAGCTGTTTAAAGCAGCTTTTGTGAGCAATACAGTGTCTGTGCATGAGCTAAATATGGGCTGAGAATTCAAATAATGTGGAGCATTACTTATTAACACCAGCCAAGCTGCTCCAAAAATTGTTAGCAGCCATGCTTTTTGGCTCCATTAGACACTGGCAGGTAACCAACCATGATGCTTTCTGTTGTTCAGATGTAGCCTGGCTGGGAAAATATTCAAATGGATAAAAATAGTAACATTTTAGAACAAGAGGCATTCAAAAAGTCTCTTGAACACTAGTTATAATACTGATGCAAATGCCCCTGCTGGTAAATTTTAACTGACCACAGGATGTATTCCCTTTTTTTACAGCATACTCCATTTCAGCAAAAACATCACTGTGTTGTTTTTGCTTCTTCTTCTTTCTTTTTTTTTTTCAAAGGTTTCTGATATAAAAAGTTGCTCCAGCACCATTATGGGTGGCAGTTAATCAGCATCACTGGCAACACATTAATAAACACCTTCTGGTATTTTTGAGCTTCAAAATAACCAACAGAGCAGGTTTCACCTTTTCAAGGTCGTCCCTCCCCAATATCAAACTGGGTACCAGTGGATTCGGAGATGACGGTCTTAACATGAACCAGTTGCTGGTTTTCACTGAGATTTTAATATGAATAACTGCTGCCACCTGCTGGAGCAATTTCCTTGTTATTAATGCTGAGCTTCTAAATGTCAGAATATATTAGTAGAAAGGGGGGGAAAGGCAAACTGCTAACTTTATAGTTCACAGCCCACATGGGGCCATTAATCTTGTTATGCTGTCACACAAATATGCTCTTAACCTGTTCATCACCCAAACCAATGCTCTCAAAACATGAAGCCACACTGCTGCTCACTGATTGTCGCATCGCTTAACAAAAGAAATAATAAAATATTTATGAATAAAATTAATCTTTATATTATTAATAAAAAATAATTTAAAAAATTAATAAAATATAATAAATAATACAAAATTAAACCTTTCTGGTTTGTCTGATCAACTTTATCCATATGCAGTTATTGCAGCTACGTAACACGCTTCAAAGCAAAACTCCCACATCTCACATTTGTTCTACAGAAGTTATTTTTAATAAACACCTGTCAAATGAAAGGTTTGCTTCTGAGAGGCAGCATGTGAATCCTCTTCAGAAAACAACCAAGACAACTAACTGGAATGAGAGATAACATGTTTTTTTCTTAAAAATAAAAAATAAAAAAAGCAAAAAGGGTAACTGGGAGGGGAAAAAGGAGACCAAACAGCAGAAATACATTAGTTTGTGCAACAGCAAATACAGCTGAATTATATACAAGCATATCTTTACTGAACATTCATCAACTATGCATGTACAATGAGGGCTCTCCTATCGGTTTACAGGAAAAGTGTTGTTTTCAGCTTGAGTTTAATCAGTCGTCACTATTTGTTCCAGTCAGCGCTGAGCAGCCAGTGTTTTCAAGTGCTACAGAGGTCTGCAAGAAATGGTAATGCAATACTTCAGATGTTCAGGAAATTAATATGGAAATTAGAAACTGTAACATGATAACATTCAGCAGCTTGCTTTCAGCTCAGAAATAGACGGACACTCGAGTTACTGTTTGATGTAATGAAGGATGAAAACGTCAAAGTAAGTTGTAAGAAATGAGTTCAGCTTGAGACGTGTTTATAAGACTTGTCGGTCTTAAAATAGCTGGTGGCTTTTTAGGAGAACAGTGCAGCCACAAAACTGTACAAATTTAATGAATATCTATCTTAGCTGCTAAACTTTGTATTTATAGTACATTAAACTGTTACTCTATATTGTACTAAAACAGACTGCAGCATAAATGTTATTGTTAAACTGAGAACTTATGTAAACATAACAGAGAAATCTAAATCTCAAACTGACCTGAATATGGAAGATCCCATAGCATGCTTTGAAATGCAGCTCAGAGGCTGCCAGATCTGTCAACAGTATTGGATTTCTCCAAATATTGTAACCGTTATGAACAATCATTAAGGCTGAGTCTAGGGGTTCATCTAAAATTGTTAGAAAAGCAAGGCTTGAGACCAAAAGGTTGCTGGTTTCAATTCCAGTAACATCTGAGGATATGTGGGTGGGAGGAGAAAACAAATAAAATATGACGCTCTTCCATTCTTTCACCAAAAGGAGACAGTGTAAGGCCAGCCAAACAGATTTTTCAGTCAGGCCCGTCTTTCCACATCAATTTTTTAAATTATTACTCCACTTCCCTCTTCAGGGATCCCCATAAAAATCTTCTTTATAAAAGAAACATAAATTTGTACAAGTATTTACAAAGGGAAGGAAGGGGAGAACAAGGCATTTAGTGTTTGGGTTCTACAATAATCCACAAAGACATTGTTCCACATCCCTCAGTCCAACATTCAAAACATTACAGGATTACAGGAGTCCATTTGGAGTGTTTTTTGTTGCAGTGTTCAATCTCAGCCAACTATCGCTTCAGGGCGTGATGTGTCCTGGGCCAGCCCAAGTCCCTGAGACATTAGCGTTTGACTTCTTAGTGTTTTGCTAACAATCTCAACTCGAGTCTGAATCACTGCTGTCTGAGGAAGAGGAGGAGGAGGAGGAAGAGGACGAGTCTGAGCTGGAGCTGCTTCCGCTGAGGCGTGATGGCTGGGCGTGAGTCTCCACTGCACTCGGCTTTTCCACTGAGGAAAAAATAGCAAAGAGAACAATGTTTAATGGATGCACCTGTACGAAAAGGAAGAAAGCACTGAAGTGTTTCTCTCAGCGTCTTTGCCAAAACAGCCCATACGTGCAAAACCTCACATTTCATCTGGTTTTTACAGACAATTCTGCTTCTACAAACAGTCTAGTGATGGAGAGTGTGAACCACTGGAGCCAAAGTTTCCTAAAACAAAAGAATAGCTCATTTATAGCCAGATGTGATATAATGGCCAGGGGATAACATGTGAACAGAAGTTAAAACTGCAACTCAAATACACACAGGGTAGAAAGACTGATAAACTCCAGGGGCCTGATGCATAAAACTCTAGATTCACAACTTAATCTGTGTAAACACAGAAATAGTATCTTCTTTCCATCTAAAGCCAGCTGTACACATTGTCCTCTTTTGCAAATCAAAAGGGGAAAAACCTTAAGATGTACAGCCTTAAATATAGTCTAAACGTCACCATAACAGGCTTGAATCGCTCTAGAAAGTGTGCACACGGTTTAAAAAGGTATGTTTTAGCTCAACACTTTCTAAATTCCTGGTTGTGTGGGGGCACAGGCGCACACATGTCTAATACTATGCATCCCGCTTCAGCACACAATCATGGTGTTTAAATACTTTGCCATTTTTCTCGCTCATTCTGATCTACACTCCTGGTTTAATCCCTCCCTGCTACTAATGCATTTGCAGGCCGATGAATGTTCTTACTCTTCATACAATCTTTAAGCAGCAGGAGAGAAGAAGATACTTTAATGAAATTCAATTTTCAATTCAATTGTATTTATATAGCACTATATCACAACAACAGTTGCCTGTTATTGTAAGGTTAAGACCCTAAAATAATAAAGAAAACCCCTACGAGTGTTTCTCAAATAAAAGCCCATTATGGTATGCAGATAAGCGAAACAAAAGCCCTGTCCACACTTTAAAGAAATAAACAAACTGGTTTTCTAATGATCAGCAAAAGTCTCAGACACCTTCACACACATGAGGCATTCCATATTATTATGATGGCTTACTGTAGATTTACACAACCAAAACACATTTACATCTCAGAGGGATTTTTAAGGTAGTTTGTTACTAAGTATAGCATTATATGAAAAGACTGTCCTGACTATACAAACTAGAACACAAGTCAAATCCAACCGTTCTGTCTCTCCCAATTTAGAATCACTATTTAACCTAACATGCATGTCTGGAGTACTTGAGGGAACTCGCACAGGGAGCAAAGGCCAACTCTACACTTGAAACGCTGTGCCATCTTCGCTGAATTATTGAAGTGCACAGTATTTGAGTAACTTAGAGAAACTGTAAGTTGCTCTGAAAACCAGACATGTTTGCATCCACACAGAAATGTGATGATGTGAGAGCTTACCTTTAGGTTTCGTGGGTTTCTTGACTGAATTGAGTTGTCCGCTGACATCTTGCAGCCTCCTCTCTAGCTCCCTCCTCTTCTCCAAGGTCAGCTCCTCTTTAGACTTGCCAATGCTGCCTTTCTTTGCTGCTGCAATATAAGATGATAAAAAGGTTGTTACAGAGCTGGGGACCAAACAGAAATACAGTGGTAAGTATACTGTGTCACACCATTACTAAGTCAGTACTGAGTAGTGTCAAGTTAAATACAGAGATTAAATTTCTTGCTCTCTTTACTAATTTTAAGTAGCAGCTTAGTAGTGCTACGCTGAGCTCTGCAGTCATATCTACATGCTGTAGTTGTGACCAGTCACCAGGGGGCAGCGTCAAATATTTGAAGAAACCATCAACTTTAGCTACTTCTATTCACTTTGTTGGTGCTTTAGCTTAGCATCTGCTGCAGAGAGAAGTTATAACATACAAAGAAATGATTTGTAGTGAAATTAAGACTTTCAGTCTCAAGTCTGTCTCCATAGACTCTGGCCTTTACCCGTCAGGTTTTCATTCTGTGTAGCCAAAGAGCTAATCAAATACACGTCAACTCAGAACTTAATGTCAAGAGGAAACCTAGCCTCTCTGTCACTGACAGACATGAAGGAGGGCGCTAGATAGAAAGATTTGAGTGGAACACCGAGGTGATGTGGTTAAACTGGTTAAACTAAACTACATGCCTGTCAGATAGGCGTAATCCTCTGCTACAGTTTTATTTCTCTTGTCAGTCCAGTCAGGGAAATATTACACACTATTGTCATGAAAACCAGATATTTTTGTGCAGGAAAACTGTTATTTTTCCTGCATTAAAACAAGTGTACCATCGTTTCCAAGTCCAAACTTAGATGGCACTGATTAAGGTTCTTAATTTTTTTTTTTTTTTTTTTTTAAATATACATAATTTTTTTCTATATATCTACTTATGTATCATTTGTTGTTAAGCACCAACCACTATGAACACTCTTTACAGATGTTGGATGCTGTTTATCATGGAGCACTGAGATTCATCACAGGATGTAAAACTCTTGCCAACCATTGTACTTCATACTCTTTGGTTAACTGGCGTTCACTGTCCACCCACAGACTGTTGCATTAGTACATTTTCAGTCATAAATCAGTAATTTGTTTACTACAAGTGTATCTAACTTACTATGTGTCACCTGAACAGAGAATCTAGAGCCTCCGCTCACAAGCTTTTATTACATTCATTACGAGAAAAAAAAAAAAAAAAACCTACTAGGTTCTTGTTTTTGATGTCAAATAAATGTAATACTAATTGAAAACTTGTTTAGTTACAGCAGTACAATACATACTGGGTTTAGAAATGCAGAGGCAGAAAGTATCCACTCAGCCTTGTAAGGCCTCTTTCCAAGAATTTGATTATATCAACTGTGAGAGCCAGTATACGGTTAACTTTCAGGAATCAAAAGCATTTGTGCCATTTAACCTCAACACTGGATCAGGTTGTTTGACTTTGGGAACTGAAGGGGCATTTGGACGCAGACGCTATCAGCTCTTAATAAGAATATATAATTGCCCTCCGTGTGTGGCTGCATGAGTCAAAACTACAGGTTCTTTCTTCAGCATCAACTTTACTCTCCAAGTTTAACAGTCTATTTTTTCCTACATGCTAAGATGTACTTAGCCATTACAGACTTTAACATGTCACATGTTAGGTACTGATAGTAGGTTCTGATACTCAATAACTTGTCAATTACAAAAACATCCAAGATATTGCTAAACAGGAATATGCTGGCGTTGTCTTGGTGGTCATTTTATCTACCTTGTTCAGCATACGGCTTACGGGGCTTCTTCCTCAGACATGTCATCACGTAGCGCTCGAGCTCTTTCAGTGTGGATGGTTTGAGTGTTTCAAAGTCAATCTCAATCTCCTCAGGGTTGGTGTCCCTCAGTGAGGGCTCCCTGGACTGTATGATGTGGACCACACGACCCAGCTTCTCGCCTGGTAACTTGTTGATGTCGAGGCTTAGCTGGCGCTTCTCATCGTATGACATGGGCACGATCTCTTCCTCTTCCTCCGAGTCATAGTGTGGTAACATGGAAGTGGCAAGTGGAGGGTAGAAAGGTTTCTTTGAAGTCCTGAAATAACAGAAGAAGAGCACAGCTATCAGCTGTTTTGCATTCAAAACATTTAACTGGTTGAACAGTATAATTATTTGTTTCACTAAACCCCAAAAAGGAAGTATGATGAAGATGAGATCAAGTTTTAAAAAAAAAATTAAAAAAAACAAAACAAAAAAAAAAAACCACTGGTGTGGTGGTTCACTCTTTATACTAACTTGCTGTTCTTGTTACTCTTCTTCCCCTGGCTTTTCTTGGCCTGGGAGCCACCTGCTTTGGCAGATTTGCTCTTCAACTTGCTGGGCATCTTCCATTCCTCAGAGCCTGCTCTACTTCGGACTCCTCGATTTCGCTTCTCCAGCTTTTTCTTTTTCTTCTTCTCCTTTTTGTCCTTTTTCTCCTTTTTCTTTTTGGGCTTGACGATGGGGCCTTGGGAGAGAGCAGCTAGCTGCTCGTGCACGGCTCGGAGCTGAGAAAAATATACAAATTAAAGACGTTTTTGTTTCCACGTTTAGTTTGATGCAACAAACACCCTCCAATACCTCAATAGTAGCTACTCAATATCTTACTTGTGTGCACACCTGGTCCTGTAATTCAGCCAAGCGATGTGCTCGCTCCTCCTCGCTGTCTGAGCTTGGGCTGCTCTCACTCTCCTCACTCTCGCTGCTAGGCTCACTCTCAGAGGTGGAGGAAGATGAGGAGGATGAGGAGGAGGAAGATGATGAAGAGGATGTTTGATGCCCACTCATGGACATGGCTGTGTGCTCCATGTGTGGTTCATCTGGCATCTTGGCGAAACGGAACTCAAAGACATCCTGAGACATGGGGGGGAAAAAAAAAAAAAGTTAAATGGTAAGAAAGGAGGAAAGTGAGTAATAAAGTAGCAAATATAACTGAAGAAGCCTGTGTGAGGGCGCCTGGTCCATGTAACTGCTGCTCACCTGTAGTTTCCGTGCCATCCCCACAACATCGTGATCAGGTGGATTGTACTTGTAGCAGTTTGAGAACATCAGTCTAACATCACTGGCAAACTGTTGAGCATCTCTGTACTCACGACAGTCCATCTTCCTCTGATTGTAAAAAACAGGAAATGGACATTTATTAGATTTTAATAGAAGATTTTTTTTCCCCACTGCATTTTACATTCACATTTAAAATCCTTCCCCCTTCTGTGTTTTATCATTTCAACATGGTATGTTTAGTAAAAAGAAATATTACTATTATAGTACTGCGAGCACACTTTCACGCATTCGAAGTCACCTTGATGGTGCTGAGGTCCATAGGACACTTGATGATATCGTGATAGTCATGAAGTCCGAGTGCAGCTGCATCCACAGGTGTGTAGAAAGGCCATGCATACGCAGCATGTTTCTTTGATAACATGTCCTTCAGCAGCCCACTGCAGTACCTCAGCTGCGGGCTGAGTTTTCCCTTCCTTGAGGGCTGAGGTTGAACAGAATCGGGCAAGTCCTTCTTGGGGGGTTTGATGGGGCGTCCGCTGCCAACTCTGCGTCCAGTGCCAGCCATCATTGGCTGGAGCAGGACAGGGCCTCCAGGACTCCTGACGAGCCCAATCCCAGGTGGGGTCTCCAAGCTTATGCTTCCCATTGAGGAGACCGTGTGCATGGACGTGTCATGGATTTGACCCCCGTGTCCCCCTTTCCCCAAGCCCACCATGTGCGGCGTTCCTGACATGCCCACAGTAGTGAAGCCCATGGTAGAGGGTGTGGTGGTATCTGCTTTGCGTTTTACACCTTTCTTCTATAGAAAGAAAAAGTTGGAAATTGTTGTGATCACTTTATTATGGCTTTGTTACACGGTTTATAATCCTCACAACTGAAATACTAAATCTTTAAAAAAGGACAGTTTACTTTCACATTTAGTGCTGTTAAAAAAGAACTTAAGTGTTTCAACATCGATTTTGCATGCTAAAATCTAGATATGCAAATTTTTCTAATCAGCATTCTGTCTTACATACCTTGGTTGTGGGCTGTGTAGGAGGCAAACCCATAATGTTAGCTGGTGGCAGGCTTTTAGTTAGCACAGTCTGGGGAGAGTTGGCCAGCATGGAATCCCCCGTGTCTGAGGATGAGGGGGAGTAGGCTGACTGGGACACTGCTGGCACCTGCTGAGCCCTTGATGCTGGTAGATAAAGAATATTAAATTTAAGAGTTGCAATTCAGCTACACAACAACACCACCTCAATCATAAATGTTGCTTTCATAATGCCTTCCTGCTTGTAAATAAATACATCTTAACATCTTTAATTGCCAAAATATGGCTCAATCAAATTTGCATATCTAAAACAAAATGCTCCAGTTTTTAGCAGTAAATTGGAATAAAGACAATATGAAACTCTAGAAGCCTGTATCATGATTTTCACAATTACAGGCAGAAATGGGAATTTTGGATAAGAATTTAGTGATTCTGGTTCCATTATCGATGTAACTTATTGATTCCTTATCACTTTTTTGATCAATTCTGGGTTCTCACAAGCTTGGCTCTGAAAGTTACCACCATCGCTAAGCAGCATAAAGACATCACATTTGTGCAAATTAATTGTACGTTGTGTGGTCAAATGTTTGTACTTGTTGGATGCATTTTGCCTCTTTGTTGTGATTAGTGTTGGGTCATTACTCAAAAAAAAAAAAAAAAGTAATGTATTACACATATTACACGGAACACTTTTATTAAAAGTAATGACTAAGTTACCTAAATTACTCACAGAGAAAATTATTCATTATGCTACTCATAACATTACTTTCATCCTACTCTGTAAAATGACCCTAAACGCACCGTCTCATAATTACCCTTTAACAATATAAACCTGAGGCTACAGTCACTCACACCAGCATATTTGCAGTAAGCTGCCCAGCTATTCTCCACCTCCGACAACTGAAATCAGCTAATTGTAGCGCAAGTAGAAGAACCGATAAGCAAGCAGACTAAGAAGAATTCAACTACCAGGAACCAGTTCTTGGTAGAACCGGTTCTCGATTTCCATCCCTACTTACCAGAAGATTTACGACCTCTTCCCCTGCTGTTTTTGTTCCGAGGAGCTGGAGGAGGAAGTTCAACTTCCTCTTCGGGCATCTGGGCCACCTTCTGAAGAAAAATCTTCTCTAGGGATTGGGCCATCAGCACAATGTCATCTGTTGGCTAACCAGGAAAAAAAAAAAAAAAGCAACACATGAGCACAAATAATATATAAGTACTATTTTTTGCATAAATGTCATTTCAGTTTAACAATAAAGGTTTTGTATTTTTTTTGTATATTTGTTAACAGACTGACAGGAACATTCATGCAATTTTAAAAACATCCCTTTTGATTGTTATGTGCAAATAGATCAAACAGATAATTACAGATTCTTGAAAAGAATTTCCTAAGATTAGTGCTTACATTTCATAAATAATAATATAAACTAAACCACTGTTTTCCCACATAAAGATGTTAACAATCACCATAGAAATCCCAGGCTAAGACACTTCATATGGTTTTCTACGAGACAACTTAATGCAAAATGTAAGTTTGTATAATCATTGAAATGATCTGTTACACACAAGCCATTGCTTAATTTACATATCTAGGTTGAGTTGAGTCTGCTTTGCAAAATTATTTACATGTAGCACATTTCTGCAGTCATTAGGCCTTTTGTCTTTCACTTTAAATTTTTCCCTTGCTTCCCTTAAGTTATGCTGAGGAGCACATGTAGTACATGTTCTCTTGCTATGAAGGACAGCAGAGAAATCACAGGGCATTTTGTGTAAAGTAAAGGGAAATGGTGAAGGGTTTAAAAAAATAAATAGCCTCTAAAATTTCTGTGCC